CATGAGTAATATCATTTAATGATGTGATCATTATCTCTTAAATGATAAATAAAATATTAATTTTAAAAAAATATTTGTTTTTTATATAATCAAATAAAAATTAAAAAATACTATCGACAAATATGAATTATAATATATATCAGTACAATCATTGCAGAAGTTAATAAAATTATTTAAGGAAATAATTCTTTTGATCATATTTGAATAGGAAATGTATATATGCAAGCAATTAATGCATATAGTAAAAAATTTCTAAATAAAGTATGCATTAAATGTGAGTTGACTTTTTTTGCTACTATTTTTGGTAAATAGTATGGCTTTTAATATAAGTATAGATTTCTCAATTTAAAACTCCAACAACTTTATATTGTTAAATAGTTGTGTAAACCAAAATACTATATATATTTAAATTTCATATTATAAATAATTAATAAAAATAATTAAAGATATTGTTAATAAAATTAAATTAGTAAGAAAAGTAATTCATTTAATATAAATTTATGCAAAAATTTAATGAAACTTACTTTAAAATTATAAAATATTGAAAAGTAAATTTAGAGTTGTATAATTTAAATATAATATTAATTGATAATAAAAAATGTAATAAAATTAGAAAATAGACTATTTGAAAAATAATTATATTGCTTAACTTATTATATTATCAAAAATATTATTCGTACCTACAATTACTTTGAAAATATTAATGATTAAAATTATTATTTATAATAATATTATTTTGAAAATATGATATCTAAATACTAAATAGTAATATAATTTATTTTTTTATATGCCCACGGTGCAGGGTTCGAGTCTGAGGCAGGGCTAAAAACCATAGAATTTCTCAAGATGAGTTTTCACTCTAGGTCAGGAGCATTGTGGAAGACCGTGAGTCCCCGACAAGGCAAAAAGAACCTACCGGGGGTAAGGCCAACGAAAAATGTCGTGAACATAGATGTCAATATATATTAGTTAAATCATTTACTCATAAAATTCAGTTATCGAGACATGGATTATCGATAATCAACGATGTCATGATACGCCTCCTTACCATCGCAGCCTTGCTTTCGGTCGTGAGCCTTCGAACTGCCACTGCTTTGTGAACTTTGGCTTGTATGGGAAGAGAACAACATTTTAAGAGATATTGGGACGAGCAACCCAATTCGGTTTGTAACTGAGGACGAGAAGCTCAACAATGAGGACGATGAGGGTTATAATTGGGGAAGAAATTATATGGCTTTCACTTTTGGAGAGTATATATATTTCAATGACAATGTGGCATCCTCGTCAGGAAACTGTGGACGTGTGAGATTGTCTGCCTGGACACGTAGGTACATAGCTCGACGTCGAACAATTTCGAGTTCGGGTTACAATATTTAAAAAAAGTTGTTAATATGTTTGCAATTACTTTAAAGTTTTGTTTAAGTTGCAAAAAACTTAAAAGTCGTTGATTTATTTTTAATTAAGCATTTATTATATTAATTAAGTTCAATAATAACGAGTCACGAGCTATTTGTGTCCCAAATATTTATTAATATTTCCAAAATCAATTGGCTAACTAAATAGTCCAATATCTAATGCCTCTTTATATGTATCATGTTTCCATGAAAAACCTCTGTACATATAATTATTAAACATTGACCCAAGAAACTTTTCCCTATTATTCTCCTTTTATTTTTTACTCGCTACACCAATATATTTTGTTTTGGTACAAAGAAGGAGGCCAAAAGCCTAAGAATTAAGAGACTGATATGCGACGTGGAGCTACACCAATATACTAAGTGCTATTACCTCATATTTTTAATATATGTCGTTTTGAAAAGTTGCACGTTAATTAAGAATATTTTTTTGCCAATAATAACCTTAATTAATGAAGATAGAGATGAATGTTTTGAGAAAAAAATGAAGAGTGAATATGAAAGGATGAAATGTATTTATTAGCTAAATGAGAGTAATAATAAAAAAATATGTAGAAAAGACTCAAAACGATATTTATTTGACAAATAGTTAATAAAGCTAGAATGACATTTAAAAAAAATAGGAGGGAGTAACAAACAAATACTACATATATATAAACTTAAATCAAATCTTCTCTCTACTGCTACATAATCTTTGCACACTTTAACCTTATTTTTTTGTCCCTAAAAAAAAAACACACACACACACACACATTCATTAATGTCAACTCTATCTTCCGACGAAGAAGCCGGCGGCGGACATCATGAGTTTGAAGGGCCTTCCTCTTCTCGCCGGAGAACGATAACGGTGGTGGCGGCGTGGCAGCACCCTGCCGGGGTTTGGCCGGCGCCGTTTGTGGAAGCTCTTGCCTTTCGGGTCGCCGTCGATGCCTCTCGTACTTCCGGCCGCCTTGCCGCCGCCCAAGCACTTTTCAATATTTTTCAAGTACGTCTTTATTTTATTTGCCTGCCCAAATTGATATTCTTTTCTGTTCAAAATTTAAATAAATCTCTACTATTGCTCATGCAAAAATATATAGGGGGAAAAAAATTAGAGAAATAGATGCATAAATAAAATAACCGTTAAGTTAGTCGACCCGTTGTACCTTTTCAACATATATGCATACTATTATTATAAAATGTTTTTTATGTTATTGTTTTAGTAAGATATTTAATTTTGAAATTATATATATATGTCACATATAGTCGCTTCTAATTAAATTGTCCACGTGTTTTAATTACGTGACCCAAATGTTGCTATAAAACATAGAGATTTATAAGCTATACAAGAAGAAGTATAAAAAAAATAAAAAAGTATATTGATTCGATTGTGGGACAAATAATGTTACACATGCAAAGCAGAGATTGATTGAAAAAATATAGATAGTGTAAAATCAAATCAAATCAAAACAAATAATAAACAGAAACAATTTAGGAGTTCTTTTGCATCTAAAATGGATTTTAAATATTGTCCATGCCATATAAGATAATTAATGCCGTGTTTTATAGAAATTGAGCAGTTCTATTAGCTAGAGGTACTCTTAAATCGAGCTGTTACACACCAGCGATTCAGTTCGACACGTTAAGACTCGAGCTCGAACTCGGTTCGTTTATGTCGAGCTCGTCTAAAGCTCATTTAGCTAACTAACCGAGCTTGTTAAGAGTTGGAAAAAATGATTATTTAAGTTAATTTTTTTATAGTTAACTCATTAAAACTCGATCTCGATTCATTATTACTGATGAACGAGTCAAACTCGAGCTCGTTTATTGCTTCTCTTTGTTAATGAGACGACCTCTCCTTCGTTTGAGCTCGAATACCATAAGCTCAAACGCAACTCGTGTATCTTAAATATAACTTCTCCTAAAAAAAAAAATAAAAAAAAATCAACTTTTAATAAGACTCACCCACCACTGTCAAGTGTGCAACTCGAGTCGACCAACGGATTAGTCGGGGCATAACTCCGAATACCGTAGCTGGCTAAAAAAAAACTCTTCCTATTCTTCTTCACTTTCCTCACATTATCTTCTTCATGAGCATTATTTTTTGGTAGTGGGCATTCAATTAAAGCAATGTCCAAACAAAAATCAAGTCACGCAAAGCAAGAAATAATTTTTATTCATTTATTATTAAGCCTGTCCGTAATCTTTGACCAAATCATATATATTAAGAACTTGAACACAGGCACATATAGTACTCTCCGTAATCACAAGATCTGAATCATATTATTATTAAATAAAGACAAAAAATAATGTCATAAAGATTCTTCTGGATTATTCTGTCCCTAAAGCATTACGGTTGTCGGTTTGCATTGGATACACAATTTTCTTGTTTTTTCGTCAATCAGAAAATTAGTAATTTTTGGGTTTGAGTTTGATTTCGCTTAAGCGAAGTCTCGGGTTCGAGTCTTTGTGAATGCGAGAAAAACCCTTGTTGGGAGACGCACCCACCACTGCCAGGTGTGCGATTCGGGTCGACCAACGGTTTAGTCGGAGCATAGCTCCGAATACCGTGGTTGGTTAATGAGAGAAAATTAGTAATTTTTGGGTTGACTTTATTTTTTAGCATCTAATTTTAGCATGGAAGAAAGGGTTCTTTTGGTGTTTAGATCTCATATCCCTTTTTATGGGGTGACCCTTTTTTGAGCTCGAAAAATCCACTCAATGCCTTTTTTGACTGCAAAAAATAAAAATAAAAAAAAATGTATGTATAGTGATTCATATAAATGTAAATTTGATAGAGATTGATTATAAAGTAAAAATAATCCGTGCTATATATATACTTACACACTACTCTTTTTTGGGTTTTTATGGTCTCCATATGCATGAAAGAATATTCACGCTGCACAACCTTTTATGATTTCCAAATGCATGAATGTAGCCTAGCAACACTTAGTGGGGGCCCTCTTATATAAGGTTACATTTTAAGTACTCACTACTATTCAATTATTCTCATTTTTGGCCAAGTATATTTGATGTTGGGGGGGACAATAAACCAAGAAAGATTGTAAGAATCTCACTTGAGGATGGTGACATAAAAATAGATAATGGTTTCTATGCAATTTATGCATCTACTAATGAATTTTTTATGTGATGGATGCCTCCGAAACATCTTCGTTTGTTTAGAGGCATTTTCGGTTTAAGCACTCTTATTTTCAAGTCAGTAATATGTGTGGACTGGATACAAAAAAGTATAATAGTCATGTAATTAGGATTTTAATGTACTTCAAGCTTTAATTAAGATGTCATTGATAAAAAACCGAATTCGGTTGAGATTTCAAGAAGACACATATGGTCTCGATTTCCTCACACGGATTTGTTACCTTAGTTGTATAATCTTTCCCATTCAAATCTCGATGTCCCTTTAGGTCGATTTGTATGCTCTTTTATCATTTTCATTGTTCTAGTTTGGGTACATGTAATTCTATCGTTCGATGATCCTAACTCAAGTTGAGGTAAATCAACAAACCAACCTCAACATACCTCAGAGTATGCTAAACCGAGCTGTGAAATGATCCAACTCTTCAGACCGAGCTAACTTCCAAGCCAACCAAGTAGCTATATATATATATATATATATATAGCTTAATAACTCGGTTTAATTTGTACTTAGGGTGTGATTGGATATAAACTTCACCAATATAAAACCAATCAAAATTCTAATCTAACTCAACTTTAATATAGTTTTGCTATCCTCAGTATTATCAATATAATTAAATAATACAATCAATCATTTTTACACATCACATCAATTTTAATTTACTACTCACGTAATTTTAAGTAATAATCATCACTTCCAATCATTTTTCTATTCAATTTACATCAAATCAATTTTAATTATTTTATTTTAAATATATTTAAATTTAAACTTAAATTGTATTCTCACTAACAATTAATTATACCACATTTTTCAAAATTAATTATGATTAACATAAAAAAAATAATCAAATGCATACCTAATCACACCCTTATGGCCCCTATTCACATAATGAGATATTTTGAGAAAGTTAAAGAGAAAAGTAAAATTAGAACGACAGGGTTATTAATTCTTTAGCCCACGTTGGAAAAAGAAATATTGGAAAGATTTAGTACATAATATCCTATAATTTTGTGATAAATCTATTTATATATCCTCCCAAAAATTGTGTGCTTTTTAATGACCTTTTAGTAGTACACATACGAAAGGTACTAATTAATACGTACGTTGACGCAGTACTTTATTATGGTAAACCAGTTTTCTGATTTATCAGACTGCCAAAACAGATCACACGCACTTCCCTAGAAATATAGAATCAGCTCAATCGTCAATACCCGTCTTTTTCATTCTTCTAGGGCTACGGGCCGGCCAGGCTCGTCGTCCCGGTTCCAACCCATAGGTCGTCGGTTTCGAGAACCGATATTGTGGCTTTATGGGACGTATCCGGGTCGGCCTTTGGTTTTTGGCGTGCCGGTTAAAGGTCACTCATGGGAAGCTCGTCGGCCAGGCACGGCCCGGCCCGTTGACTGGCCATGTCTATTTCTCCTCTTTTTTTTCTGTTTTCTTTTTTTTTTTATTACTAATAGTTTGAATTTATTAATATTATTATTAAGTTAAGAAAAAAAAAAAAATTGTTCCCACATGCCACCTTAGCATTTTCAGCCGTGTCTGTTGAACCCAACCGCATTGGACCGGCGGTTCGATAAGGTCAGAGTCCTGTCATGGTGGATCCTTTGGTTCCGTGCAACTCGGTCAATGCAGTCATTGACTTGATTGATGTGAACATTGATTAGTCGGATCAATCCGATTTGTCCTTGTCATTCTTATTTTACTTTTTAATATTTTTATTTTACCATATACATTTTATATATCTACATCACAAGAAAACACTTCAATTCAAACGAAAATTTTCAACGGCAAAAGTTTTTATTGGAAATTCCAATGAATATTCCAACAAACTTAATTTTATGTTGGAATAAGTGTTGGATGGTTGAAGAATTCCAATGGATTTTTTCCGTTGGAATAGTTGTAGAAATTTATTTCCATAGAATTTTCTGTTAGATTTTAGCTATTCCAACGACTGTTTTCCCACAAATTTTTATACATAGGAATATCCGTTAGAATAGTTATTCTAACGGAAAATATAAAGAATTCCAACGGAATGTAAGAGTTTTTTTTTGTAGTGGTATAGGATAAAATATAATAGTGTCTACACTGGTATATAAAATTTGAATATAGTACTTTATTCTTTGGTATTTTATGTATATTTATACGATAAATATACATGTTTATATTTTTTTTTTTTAAAAAAAAAATAGTTAGCCTACTTAACAATTGACCAGGTGGCACGATGTTTGTACCGGTGACCTGAAAGTCAGCCCGAGTCGTTTAACATTCGAGTTCAAAAACATTGATTTTATTTATAGGACTCGCCTAATTGTGTAGGCAGTACCTATTTTTTTAATACCATTCACTACAAAAAAAAAACTCTTACATTTCAACGAAAATTTTATGTTGGAATTCTTTATATTTTCAGTTGGAATAGCTATTCTAACGGATATTCCTACGTATAGAAATTCGTGGGAAAAATGGCCGTTGGAATTACTAAAATCCAATGAAAAATTCTATGGAAATAAATTCCTGCAGCTATTCCAACGGAAAAAATACGTTGGAATTCCCCAACCATCCAACACTTATTCCAACATAAAATTAAGTTTGTTTGAATATTGATTGGAATTTCCAACGAAAATTTTTGCCGTTTTTCATTTGAATTTAAGTGTTTTCTTGTAGTGATTATTCATAATCCTCTAACCATTAGTATGTGGTATTATCCGTCGTTTGTTTTACCGGACTAACAAATTTATTGATAAATATAAATAGACTTAAAGAGTATTACCAAATAGAAAAGTTTACATGACCATATTCATTGAATTTCAACGTCTATATATATATATATATATAGCATCCCAAGTCCCAACTACCAATTTAAAATTTATATTTTTGAGTTAATTAATTTTATTTTTATTAGATTCTTTTATTAGTTGATCGGTATTTATGATATGATACTTGTACAATTCGTCATTTTCGTAAAGCTAACATTTTTCTGTACCATTTATGATATGCATACAAGTTAGCTTATACTTTATTTCATTTGTTTATAAGATTCATGTATTCAAATAAACTTGTATTAATAAAGCGAACTGTTTTAAAAAGTTTAAACTTATCTCATAAGTTTCATTTGTAATCTATATATATAAAGAAATTAACATGTACAAAAAATAGTTAGAAAAATTTTCGGACAAGATTTTAACAGCCTATATTTAGTATTTTTTATAAAGAATTTAGGACAACGTACACATAAAAATAGGAGAAACTTGATCCATTTATTTAAATCTGTTCACACTTAATTCCATACACACGTTGCCCTTAAGATCAGACGATCCTATTATAGTTACAATAGATTCCTATAAATTTAAAAAATCTCATCCCTTATTTATCTATTTTAACGTATTTTTTAAAACACTATTGTAACATAATTTCTTTTCTTAAACAAAGTTAATTGTCTAATTACAAATATAAATCCTTGGTAAGAATTTTTTAAAAAGTTAATTTTGAATCTAAATACTAATATTTTTCAACAATTATTAAGCCTTATAATATTTTAAATATTTTAAACATTAGACAAAGACTAACGAGCTATATATATACACACTCACATATATGGAGGTTAAACTTAAGTATTTTTTGACATGTTTTCTTTTCTTAAAAAGTAGTTTATAAAGTTGCTTCAAACATTTTTCAAAAATAATATAGAATATTCTATATACTTTTTATATATGTAATATAATATTTTAGAGGTCTTTAGTATATTTATCACATATTTCTCTTCCAAAATACATACAATAAAAAGTTATAAGACGAAATGTAGAATTAAATATTGTCTTCAATATTTATCACATATTTCTCTCTCAAAATACATACAATAAAAAGTTATAAGAAGAAATGTAGAATTAAATGTTGTCTTCAATTTTTGTGTGGTTATCAGTTATATATTTGTTACAGTTTACATTAATCTCTGAGCGGTATTTTTATAATTAATAAATCTATGTGCACAAAATTTCTTTTCAACTGTAACAAACTTACCAAAAAAAATAATAATTTTGAAATATTATTTACTGAAAGTTTTGGACGTACCGTCATAATTTGGGGTCATGTTGATATTTATTTTATATATACTAGGTAACTTTTTCTCTCAAAAAATTTATAAGGTCTATATTTAGACTTATAAAATTTTAGATACTTTTATATAATATTTTATCATGTAATTTCATAACTATATATACAAACACACATACACACACACACACACACACACACATATACATATATATTAAGTTTAAATATTTTTAGACATGTTTTCTTTCCAAAGTAGTTTAAGAAAATTGTAAGTGAATTCAAATCTATAAATATATAAAGAGACGTACAACTTATTTACAAAAATATTAACATAAAAATCAACCAACATTTAATGCATTTCAATTTTAGCAGTTTTTTAATTTTTTTTTAACTTAATCCAAAAAATCGGTCATCTATAAATGCACCCTAAATTGATGGATTTTGTTAATTTAATTTTTGAAAATTTTAGATATCAAAATCCATTCTTATTTAAATAGAAATCAAAATTCATTCTCATTTTTTATTCAAAAAAAGCTAATTGAAAATAATTAGGTCTCATTTTGAATATAAATTTTAATTTTTAATCCCTTATAATTTAGTTGCCATAAAATCGGCCGACATTTATTGCATGTTGGTAGTTATTTAATTTTTTAATTTATTAACCCTAAAAATCAATTAACCTTAAATGCACCCTATAATGATAGTATTGTTGATTTAATTTTGGTAGATTTCGGTAGTGTTTAAGATTTTCTAAAAATCAAAATCCTTTCTTATTTTTTATTCGAAAAATGTGGCTGAACTAAAACGCGTGCTGAATGAAAATTTTCAATTAGAAAAAATACAATCACATATTCTCGTATAAATGAACTTCCTATTAAATTAATATTATATATATATTTGGCAATATAAAATTCGAATTAACTATAGATTATCAAAAAAGACGTTTTACGATATTCGTCATATTTTGCCATGCAACCTTCATAAAACAAGTATAAATCATAGAAGATATATCCTACTAAATAATTTAACTGATTTATTTAAGTCTGTCAAGAATCCTAACATATATAACCTTCACGGCCAGCTTTATGCATGTTTCACGCGCTACGAATCTTAAGTGCTTGAAAATTTTAATTTGTGGCAGTAGACGATTTACCAAAAGGCCAAACAAATAATGTTGTATACAAAGATTTGTTTAGTAATATATAAGTTACATTTTGTTTTATCCTAATACATGCGTTTTACGTTCATCAAATCATTCAATCATCCAATCTAAATGTTTACCATAATAAAACTAGCTCGTGCATCGCACGGGTACCGCACTAGTGTTTTCAAATAAGCTCATTGAAATTTTTTATTTCAGCTAGCTTATCAACTAATTTTATTGCAAAAACTTTTATCATATAAGCTAGCTTTTCAACTATAATCGTAAATTATCAACTATAAACTCGAAATTCTCTTAAAAGCTATAATCTAACTTGTCAACTATAAGCTACCTTATCAGCTAGATTACGAAACATAGGCATAATACACTATTTTAATTAAATACTTATATGTTCAATTTAAAAAATAGTCAATTAATCGAATCAAAAGCTTCTATTACCATGATTATGTAGCACCCGTTGTCATGATTTGATCGCTACTAAAACATTCTTTTAACACTTGATAATGACCTTCATAATTGAATGTGTGTTCAAAAGAAAACCTTGATTTGTTAGCAGCAGAAAATATACGGCGCATGAGTAATTTTTAATTCCAATTATTTATTCTAAAATTGTTTGCATGCCTGTGTCAAAAGTCTTGGGACAATTTGTTTTGTTTATTTGTTAAGCATGGGTTTGGGAAGAATGGCGTAATTATAACCAATGTATCTGTATGAACAAGTCTTCAGCAAATTGCTTGTTATTTAATAGGAAAATGTTACGGTTTCGTTCCGGAACCAATTTCGTTGAGATTAGTAACCGTTAGATCATCATGTAATTGTTAGAGATAGTTGATGATTTAACGGTTACAAATTCGAAGGAATAGTTTCGTAACGTGACCGTAACATCTCTCTATTTAATATTCCAATAATATTTTTTTGTCCCTTTATTTTTATTTTAAAAAAAAAAAGTGTTGGAAAGAGAGATGTGGACAGGTACTCATGGTTAGAACATAGAAGCATGATCAGTCCATTTTGAAAAAAGGGTAAACGACAAACTTCTTTCATTTTGATGTTCTTCGTAATTCTCTACAGACTTAGTGAAATTCATATCAATTTGCATGTCAAATATATACTTTATAAAGATTTTTATTTATTTTTTTTATTTTGGCTATATTTTTTGACAAAAATATCGAATTTCATGCATTAGGTTTAATGGAAAAATATTCCAACAAAACATTTCTACCAATATTAATATATTATAATTTTGTTCGAAAATTCTTGGTCCGGATCCTTGAAAATTAAACTAATTACATTTTATGCAATTAATGTATTAATTCTTATTTAGTTAAATAATTTTTATTTTTATTAATGACCAAATTTTAAGATGTAAAACCATTATCTACTTTATAATTTTCATACTTAGACATATATATGATTTATAATACATTATTTATATGTGTGTAGATGTACATATAATTGAGTGCTAATTATAATATTAAAATATCCATTAAATTTCCTAGAATTGATTTTGAATATATTTTGGTTGAAATTATTTATATTAGAATTTGATGATATTCAAGAGTGTTGAAGATGTTTTTTTCAACCATGTTACACCTGTTCTCAATTTATTTTCCAATATTTTGTTGTACTTACATATGATGTAATTATTTTTCTTAATTGCCTTCTCATTGATTAGAAACTTGGCTTGATTTTACAACATCCACATTATTATTTTACAACATCTACATTATTATTATTATAATTAGATTACTTCATAAATGTTGTTGGCAAGGTGTCTAATTGTTAAACAAATAAGAAATACATATAATAATATTATATTAAATATTTTCATATTTACAGGTTTGTTCCACGTGGCGAGCCGTATCCAATTCGGAGCTCCTGTGGTACAACCTCTCCCGCCACATTTGGATCTCGGCCGGCCTCGGATGCCGCCCCACGTGGAGGGACGAGTACATCCACCGCCATCGTACCGCCGTCAACTTCCACCTTTGTCGCCATGCACACGTTGCTCTCCACCTCCTCCCGGACGTGGGCCCTGCCGGCCGGCAATTGTCCTGTCGGCGCCTGGCGCTCTCCGATCTCCACCTAGCCATCGGCTTCTCCGATGGCGGGGTCCACATCTTTCGCCTCCCCGACGGGCCCCACCTCATCTCGATGCTTTACCCGCACGGCCACGACCGCCACCTGGGCCGATTTTCGAGCTCTGTGTCCGGCATCATCCTAACGGATGCTCGGCTCGTGTTCGCCACCCTAGACGGGGACGTGCACGTGTCGGGCCTCGATGGGCAGAGCTTTCTGCGACGGGCCCGAATGGGGGACGTCGTGAGCGACGGAGCGTTGGTCGACTTTTCAGGGAGCGACCGGTGGTGGGTCGGCCTCTATGCAGGTGCTTTTTGCATTTTCATGATTTCACTAGGTTAAGTTGCACTAAATAGAAGACCTTTTAATAAAAATATTCCTGGTCAATAATATGAATGCTCCAATATCACTTGTGAGTTGTCTCAATATATATATATAGAAAAATTAGCCTAACTAATCTCAGTGAAATCTTACTTGTATTACCAATTGGTTTTCAGATGACACCTCACTTTCTAATGTTGTAAATTCTTGAAACCTTCTCTAGGTGTCCCGGGCCGCTCCTTTCATATATGGAATGGTGAGACCGAAGAGCTACTCTTCGTGGGCGGAAGCCTAACCGACACGGAGGCCTTGACAGGATGGCACTCTCTGACGATAATGACCGACCCGATCGGTAGGGTCCGTGTCACGGCCCAAGGGCATGCAGTTGCATGCACGGCACACAGAGTCATTGCGTTCGACTTGCAAAACCAAGTAGCCACCGTATGTGGCGACGAGCAGTCGAGGAGGGGCATCATTGTCGGCTCGTTTGACTCGAATCACGATTCCTTGCTCGTGGCTGATGGTCGTGGTCGGGCCCACGTTCGTCGGGTGGGCGACTTGGGTGAGGTTAGTCGGTTTGCGGTTAGGCGCGGGTCAGGTCGGATGGGAAAGGTTCTCGGGTGCATGAACAGCGGGTGTGCCGTGTTATCGGTTGGTGGTCTGATTAGGGTTTGGGGGATAGAGAGTGGAGAGTATTTGTACAGTTTTAGTGAGAGGATGGAAGAGTGCAGTGCCATTGTTGTCGACGAGACGCGTGTCGCTGCGTGCTCGTCGGATGGGATTGTTCATGTCTGGAATTTTGGGGCACAATAGCGTAAGCTTTATGTTTTCAACCCATTGGAATTTTTTGTTGATAGAAGAGTATTGAACAAGGAATTATTGTTGGAAAATTATGTGAATGAAATTTGTAATTGAAGCATTGATTTTGAAACCGTGTCTTCCAATTTTAAAAACACACTTGGTTTTATTAATGTTGAAACCATCTTAAACTTAATCTTATTAAGTGTTGTATTAAATGAAGTAATTGATTCATATGGCTTATCTTAGGCCTATAAGAGGAGACTTATCTTCTTTTAAAAATGAGACCCAAGAAAAGAAGAAAACAAAAAGATCATCTCTTCTCCATTTCTTTTAATTGTTTTGGTTCAGGCATAATTCCAGTTCGCTGAATTTGTTTCGTTTTATCCGTTGTATCCTGGGAAACAGACGCTCATACCGGGCCAATCTGTTTTAAGGATACTGTGTTCTCACAGACCTCGGTATTATATATTTTAGCCATCTATTTTTTATATTCCCGATAAAGTTCCCTACAGTTATTAGTTATGGAATTCAATTTCGTCAGAAAAAAAGCATTCAGTTTAACGAGTGATTTATGTGATTGTTTTGTATGTTTTTTTTTGTTATTTTATGTGTTTTTAAGTGTTTTATTTGTGTTAGTTTTATTTTATTTTAGGTTTTTCTTAGTTTATTTACTCATTTTTGCTAGTTTTTGTGTTTATTTATCGTCTTGATGTCTTGTGTATTTTATTTCTTTTTTTATGTTTTCTTTTTTTGGAAAATGCTTGTCACAAAATATGCTTGACGTCGTAAAAAAATATCAGGAAATCTGTCGGGCGGAAACTTGCTGGAAAATCGTTGAAAAGTTTTCGATCAGACGACCCAGTTAGTGCTTGGTAGACATGCCGGTTTGACTCGACTCGAACCCAGCCCGCGGTCATTGGTCCCAAACTCGAGCCCGTTGTTTGACTATGTCGATTCCTGGTCGTTTATATTTATTCTTTTGACCCCGCGGACCGGACGGGCCGGGCAGGGTCAAACCCGTTTGGACGGGTCCAGTGAATTTTCCTTCTATTTTTTATAATTATATTTTTTCATCATCGGCCCGACCCAAAACCCGCCACCCGACCGTTGGCCCAGAGCAAATATGGGTCGTCCATTAAATTTGACCATTGGAGATCCAACGATCATTTTTTGTTATTTATTTTTAAATGCAGGACGGGGTCGGTTTTTGGGTCCGGGTTCGACTCACCCATCCGGTCCAACGATTAGATGCAACGATCTTTTTTCAAACTCGACCATTGGATCGATTTGACCGTTGAGTTCTAACGATCTAGATTTGATGGACCTCATTTACCCGCCAAGTCCGGGTCCCAAATTTAAAAAAAAAAAACCAAAAAGATACAAAATAAACGGATAATTCCTTTAAAATCCCTAAACCACATTTGAGTTTCCTTCTCAGTCCCCATACTATTTTTTTAACCTCTGCACTCCCTAATACATATTTCTCTTTCCTCTCAACTCCCCATATAAATACTAATACTATTATTATTGATTTTTTTTTTACCTGATAATTTATTATTCTCTTTCTTCAATCTCTCTCTTCGCATCTCGCTCTCTCTTCGCCGCACACGAACCTTTTTGTCAAATACGACGGCAGCTTGCCGGATCTGTTTCGAGAGGGGCACTCGACAGTGGCTGAGGGGCTTATCTGGCCCTTTGTAGTGGTATGAGAGGTGAAATCATCGATAATGGAGGCGATGCTCGCAGTTGCCCGGAACAATTTGGGTAATTTGGAGTTCCCAAAGTTGTAAGAAATTAATGGGCCTGTTTGATTTTTAGTTGTAGTTTGAAGAATTTTTAAGTTCTGACTGAAAAACCGTGCCTTGTGAAATTTGAAAATAGCAACCCTCTTTTCCTTTAAGAAGTTTGGAGTTATGCCTTTTATGAGTGTTAAAATTACTCCTCTCTAGTACTTTTCGGGCCACCTTCAAATTACTCTTGGATTTTGTAATTTGCTTTTTTTGTGGAATAAGAGAATGCAAATCAGGTTTACATGTTGTTATTGTTACTTGTGATGGGATCTGGAACATGCTAGGATATTGGGTTTATGTGTTTCTTCTTTTGAGAATGACATTAGAAACATTTTCTGTGTGGCAAGGGTGATGGAAAGAAGCATCTTTATTGAAAAGTGAGACAAATTGGTCATCCTTCATTTTTTTTGTTTGGTTGAGAACCTGATTTTGTTGGATTAGGCACTGTTTTTGCACTAACTCGTCATTTCAGCTCCCAATATGAAGCAATAGATATTAAACACAAGGTAATTTCTTTGTTTATGGGAATACTCAGTGCAATTTTCTGCAAAGAAAAGTTTATATGTATTAACAGTGTACTAAAGAGCAAAAACTTTTTTGGCCTGAAAAATTTTGATACATCAACATTGAGTTTTACTGGAAATTTGCTCATTTCTAATTTCTCATATGTTCTCCCAGAAAAAAAAAAAGAAAGAAAAATGAAAAAAGGATTCTTGGTGTTACTTTTGATTTAAGTGATAAGGCACTTGAGGGTAACTGAAGAAGCCCTTAACTTTAAGATTCATGCCAACTGTATCAGCTTAAGGTGATGTGGTTCTCTTATTTGCTAGTTTTGTTAAATTGTTGCATCTTATCAAATGGAAGTTCTAGTATACAACCTTTTATGGTGATTAGGACACTTGCATGTTATAGTTTTCGAATGTAGCATTTTGTGAATATTGTAAAGCCTGCATTGTTTGTTTAGTGTGCAATCAATTGCTGGATTTCCGTGAATGGTCATTGTGCATTTTGTGTCATGGCCTTCTTGGCTGGCATTTGGCTTCTTTTGTAGCTCATAAAGAAGCTAAGAAACGGCCGTGTATTTCATGGATGGTTGAGGGTTCTTTGAACTTTGCTCCAACTTATAAATATGAACTGAACTCCGACTCCTACTGTGGAGTGGATTCAAAGGCTGGAAAGAGAACTCCCTGCATGATATGCATTATTGTTGGTCTTGATATTCACGTTTCCCTTTTGTGTATATATATATATATATATGAATGGTCAATTCTATTTGACATATCTTATAAGTTGCTTTGGGGTTCTCTTATTTGCTAGTTTTGTGGATAACTAAAAAGTTTGTATACTAGTTTTGTTTCACCAAAATGGGTACCCGCAGGTATTTGCTAAGGTGTTGTGGTTCTCTTATTTGCTAACATACAAGTAAATTGGATGTTATATTTTGCTGTTTCAATGTGAATTGGCCTTCAGCTTCTAGCCAGTATCTCTAAGATTTTCAAGTGATGCTTCTATTCATGAACTTTTTCTCTACAGGATCTTCTTGTCACTTGTTGATGCCTCGATAAGTGAGGCCTTAGAGTTGCACAAGATTAAGAACCGTAAATGGTCAACTTTTAGTGGTTGTATATTTCTAGCTTTTCTTTTGGTTTGCCTTTTCTTTCTTTTTGGGTTTTTTTTT